ATTCACGGATAGCGGTCCACGCCTCCGGCACGCAGCTACACGCAAACAGCGTTTCTTCGATGTCCGAACCGCTAGTTGATTCCACAAGGTACCCCCACGCCCGCAAGTGTGCTGTCACCAGCGGCGCTCCATGAATGCGGTTTAGGTAGTTGCGATCCGGACAGCCGATGATGTGGACGTAGCCAGTAGGGGGTTGGTGATCAAGGGTTTGTTCCAGACCTTCTACAGCGAGGAAAGTCCGCATCCTCCGTGACCAGCTCATAAACTTCCCCGGTTCGTTCGGGTGCTTCGGCGGGTTTCGAGTGCCAAAACGACCGCTCATCAACTGGCTACCGCCGTCTGCCATGCTCACCGTTTGATACCCGGGTCCTGATCCTCCACCAGAGGGCCCTGTACGGGCCGCGTCTGCAGCTGCACGCGCCGCATCTGCAGCAGTGGCCCTATGCATAGCCGCTTCTTTCTTCCATTCTTCCTCCACCTCTTTGTGGGCCTGTTTCAGCTTTGCTATCTCCGCCTTCGCCTCAGCCAGACCCAGCTCCAACTCCTTCTTCTGCTTCTTGTCTTTCTCCTCGCCTTCCATGTCTAAACTAAAATTGCTTCTTGTTCTAATAACTGGATTTCCTTGACGCGCGCCGGCAAAAACCGCCCTGCTGCTGCTGTCCTTGTATTCCAAAAGCTTACCCTGGATCTCCTTGGCACGCGCGGGCAAAAACCGCCCTGCTGCTGCTGCCCTCGTATTCCAAACCCTGTTCCCTGGATCTCCTTGGCGCGCGCGGGCAAAAACCGCCCGCTGCTGCTGCCCTTGTGTTCCGGTGCCTACCTCCCGAACCTTTCCCTACCGACGTCAGCTGACTCCACGATATCGTGTTTGGGGTGTCGGCGCGTGTACTATGTTATCACGCTCGCGGGCTCTTGTCGAGAGCGTGTTGCACAAAGGAGTGACTCAAGTTCCTTGATTAACTATTAACGAGTGATTAACGAGTGACAAGCATGAGCAGCAGGCAAGAAGGACCTGCTGCTGCACACACGTCGGCATATACCCAAACCTATCATATCTGCGTACCCCCTCGGATATCTCGGAGATCTGTATCCTGCCGAGTACATACACAAACAACCTACGTGGGGAAGAGGAGCCTTTCCTCTCCACCATGTCTCCACTATGAATGTTTTATGCACCCTGCATCTCTACCGCCGAAAATGCTCCGGAAACACCTCAAAGTTATGAAATGGCATTGAATCTCTCAACGTTTCATATCACACCCGCTCCCGGATTATCACCGAAGCTATACTTTCTTCTACTTTCCTCCTGAAAACACGTTCCGTCTGTCTCCCGTGATGTTTTTCGCCATGGCAACAACAGGCGTGGTCACCGACGCCTCTATGAACTATTTTTGCCCGCGGTTACCCCCCGATAGCGCTTTCGATCATAACTAAATCCAAAGGGTGAACACAAGACGGGGGTGGTGTTCATTCCCATTTCAAAATTAGTTCCCATTTTTCTCGCAACCTTGTTATAGACTAGCTGTACGCAAATGTGTATTTTGGACACCAAATGAAAACAAAAAAACATCAGAAAAAAAAACAAGTTGTCTGTCCGCATCTCGGTGGCGCTGAATATATTTTCAAGTATCGTGGGAGACCCTCTCGTCGGCACACACAAACATACTCTACGCACCGGTTTGCCACTGCCTTTAGCGAAGGTATTGATAATGTTGTGGGTCCCTGCCGGCGATTTGGATGCTCGCCTCCCCTTTATCTTGGCTGATGCTGTTGAAGACGATGATGCCTTTCGCTTCTGCCCTACGAACTGCTGTGCGCTTGAACCAGCAGCTGATTCAGGAGGGGTTGGATCCGGGGTCTTTTTCTTGAGGTGGGACGCCACATGTTCGTTGAGATGCTGCACATGCTCCTCCAAAGTAAGGATATCGGAAGACCTCAACCTCCGCAGCTCTTCAATGCCGTTCCAGAAATCGTGAGACAGAGGCTCGTTGTTTAGAACGTGCTTCTTGATGTCCCCGAGCTGGCTCGTCGACAGTTAGTTCTTGTTGATCTCTGAGGGTGACCAGCTTGGTCAAGCCCTCACGAGAGCTGGCGGAGAGAACCATCAGGGCCGTGTACAGCAGACAGCATGTCGTGGTTCGCAGCCTTTCTGGTGTGCTGTGCCAAAGCTGTAGCGCCAGCAGAGAGCGTGGAAGAGCCCGCNATGCCTTTCGCTTCTGCCCTACGAACTGCTGTGCGCTTGAACCAGCAGCTGATTCAGGAGGGGTTGGATCCGGGGTCTTTTTCTTGAGGTGGGACGCCACATGTTCGTTGAGATGCTGCACATGCTCCTCCAAAGTAAGGATATCGGAAGACCTCAACCTCCGCAGCTCTTCAATGCCGTTCCAGAAATCGTGAGACAGAGGCTCGTTGTTTAGAACGTGCTTCTTGATGTCCCCGAGCTGGCTCGTCGACAGTTAGTTCTTGTTGATCTCTGAGGGTGACCAGCTTGGTCAAGCCCTCACGAGAGCTGGCGGAGAGAACCATCAGGGCCGTGTACAGCAGACAGCATGTCGTGGTTCGCAGCCTTTCTGGTGTGCTGTGCCAAAGCTGTAGCGCCAGCAGAGAGCGTGGAAGAGCCCGCAGGGGGGCGGAGGGGGCACCGCCAAAAAAACACTCCCCCCCCGTTTTCCCCCCCGGTGTTTGCCATCGGGGTTGGGTTTTCGTCGCTTGGCAACGACGTTGTAAAACAAGCCATCCCCTCGGTGTTTGCCATCGAGATTGGGGTTTCGTCGCTTGGCAACGACGTTGTAAAACAAGCTAATTCACTTCGTTAACTCGGCAACCAGGTTATCGTTTTTTATTTTTTACCTCTTTTTTTTGGCGGTAACCATAATGGTGGTCGAGTAGATCATGTTGTGCGGGGTCGAAAACCCTCACTCCGCGCAAGGGGGATGATCGCACCACGTTGTAATAAAATGGTCAAGCACCCTCGAACCAGTTATACAGTGCTTATAACTGTCTCAGGAAGTGGAGCACCAGAAAATTAATTAGGTCATACATAAGCAGCTGCCATCCGTACGCAAGGAAGTAAGCACAAGATGCCGAAAACCCTTAGCAGGATGCAGCGCACCCTTCATGCGACTCGCCGAGTATCTCACGGCGCTTCGCGCTTGGTGATGTGAGAGCCTGGTCCTGTGAGAACCCGGCGTGCTCCGTCCCGGCTGTAGGTCAATGGTCTAATGACTACGGCATGAACGACTATGAGTACCCCCCCCTCCCCCTCCCCCCCCTGGGACCGATGCGAGCTGCACTTTATCACCGGGGGTACACAATATATCCTGTCTCTTATACACATCTAGATGTGTATAAGAGACAG